AAAAAGTGATATTTTGACTTCTGTTAAAACCGCAAGTCTGATTGCTTTGATATTACATATATAGGTACTACATGTGGACCTCTCTCAGATTTGTTCATTTTGTAATGATATCTTTAATTCTCTAATTTTGGTGAATATTTTTGTCATTTTTGGTAAAAAGTGATATTTTTGACTTCTTGTTAAAAACCGCAAGTCCGATTGCTTTGATATTACATATATAGGTACTACATGTGGACCTCTCTCAGATTTGTTCATTTTGTAATGACATCTTTAATTCTCTAATTTTGGTGAATATTTTTGTCATTTTTGGTAAAAAGTGATATTTTTGACTTCTTGTTAAAAACCGCAAGTCCAATTGCTTTGATATTACATATATAGGTACTACATGTGGACCTCTCTCAGATTTGTTCATTTTGTAATGATATCTTTAATTCTCTAATTTTGGTGAATATTTTTTGTCATTTTTGGTAAAAAGTGATATTTTCTTCTTGTTAAAAACCACAATCATTTATGGTGAAAAATGATATTTTTGAATTCTTGTTGAAAACAGCAAGTCCCATTGCATTGATACTATGCATATTGTTCATTTTCTAATGATATCTTCTGTTCTTTAATTGAAATGTGCATTGCTAACAGCGGAGCTATCTCAGCCGAGAGGCTGCTTGTTTTTAATATCAAGAAAAATATTATTTCAAGGGTGGAAGTATTTTGATTTTTAGCCAGATATGGGGCTGCGTGTGTTAGTAAAATGTGTTTCACTTTCTTAGCTCCGCTCTTGACTTTGTCGAGCGGAGCTTATCATATGAGTGATTGTTCGTTGTCGTCTATTTCAACTTTTCACATTTTCAACTTCTTGTAAAATACAATTGACTAATTTTGATGAATATTTTTGATGAAAGTGGTATTTTCAACTTCTTCTTGTTGATTGCTTTGATACATGTGGACCGCTCTCAGATTTGTTCATTTCGTGATGATATCTTTGATTCTCTAATTTTGATGAATATTTTTGATAAAAGTGATATTTTCAACTTCTTTTTGTTGACTGCTTTGAAGTCTGTGTCAACT